CAGAGGCGACCGCACAGGAGTGTTGCCTTTGGGGGATGGGGTACCCCAGGGGAGAGGGGAATACACTGCATTGGAGAACAACAGGCCCCACTTCTCAGCAAGTTAACCAAGCCTGTTACGCCTGCTTTTGGCAAAGCGGGCTTTTCCTTGGGCAGCACCAGTGCAGGCAGTGTCCGGTGCAGAGTATGTTTTCAGGGTCAGGTGCTCAGTAAACACGAGATGCTGCAGGTAAAGAGACGCATGGACCTGGCCCCCGGAGGCAGCAGGTCTACAGCCACATTGTCACACCTTCCAGGACACACCACTGAACAGACAGGTCACAGGGCCCGGGCCTCTGGTCACCCCGCCCACTCCTGTCTTTGTTGAGGAATTCACGGACGTTTGTGCTGTGATGCGAGCACTCCTTGAGAGCTCATACTGTTTGATACGATTAACAGGAGGTCACCCAAGTTCTGGGCCAGCACGGCTTCACTGAGTGGGCAGAGGCGTGCGGTGCCCATGCGAGTTCGGCTGGAAGGCCTGGCTCCCCACTCACCGGGCCTGGTTCCGATTGTCTCTCGGACCCTGGAGTCAGCATTGCTCTGAGTGTTTTTCTTTCATTGTTCTGGCAAGTTCCTCTCCATCCCACAGCTGTTTGGAAATTGCTCTCTGCCGAGCCTCGAGCCGCAGTGCTACCAGCGTTTAAACGCTGCTAGTAGGGAGCAAGCTCCTGCACCGGTCAGCCTGCTGCGAGTGTAACGGGAGTCGCCGGGATCTGTAATTGGGTTGGGAAATACTGCTCACTTATTTTAGTCTTAAGTCATTACCTTCTTACTGAACGTCAATAACTTTGCTTTTCTATTATATTCACATTCAACATAGCTGCAGTTTACAGAAAGGTTTTTTAACTCTTACTTGCTGTCTGGGTAGCCTGCCCACTTACATCATTACTTGTTGAAATAAATGCATGTATAGTGTAGCCACTATGGAAAACAGTATGCAGACTCTTCAAAAAATAAAAAATAGGACTGCCATAGGACTCAGTAATTCCACTTCTGGGTATTTATCCAAAGAAAACACAAAACACTGATTCAGAAAGATACATGCACAGCTAAGTTGACTGCAGCAGCACTTACAATAGCCAAGATAGGGAAGCAGCCCAAGTGTCTCTCAGTACATGAGTGGATGAAGATGTGGTGCGTTCACACAAAGAACTCTTACTGAGATAAGAGGAATGAAAGCTTGCATCTGCAGCAACCTGGGTGGACTCGAGGGCATTATGCTGAGTGAAGTAAGTCGACAGAAAGAAAATATCATGTAATCTCACTTAAATGTGGAACCTTGAAAACAGCAACAAACGAATAAACAAAACAAAGTAGAAACAGACCCATAGAGAACAAACTGCTGGTTGCCCAAGAGGAAGACAGGAGGATGGGAATTTAAAGTAAAAGAAGTAACTGCATATACATACACATATTCAGTAAGTGTTTTACAGGCATGTACTGAGCATTTCACATGCATTATCTCACTTAGTCCTTGCAACAACCTGATGGACCAAGCGCTATTCTTCTCATTGTAAAGGCGAAGAAACCGTATTCAAGACATGGCATGTCTTGCCCAAGGTGCGTGCCGGCCCCGGCTCTCACAGCTGGCATTAGGGAGACTAGGGGGCTACCTAGAGAAGTGATGTGGAACTTCGCCACTGCTACCTGGTAGCTTGGTGACCTTGGGCACATCCTGTGAATTCTCTGAATGGCTCTGTCAGCTCCAGAGGGCTCACCCTCCCTATACTTTCTGAATAGTTTTCTGGCAGGGATCAAAATTAAAAATGAGGGTTCGTATAACGGCACTTTCTAAAACAGTGAAGTACTGAACAAACGTGAGGCGCTCCTTTGTCGTGCGCTTTGTGTAGCCCGTTTAGCATATTGAACAACGGGACTGGCACTGGCATGCAGCACTCGTATATGCTTTGCAATTAGTGTAGCCTAATTTAATTGTGATTCCATTGTTGGGATTTTGATGCCTCCTGCTTGATGAATGGCCATTTTTCTGGGGGTGTTATCAGTTAATCTAGGTAATGAATTCTCTTCATTATCTTGTTCTTCATGTTAATTATACGGGATTTTCTTATGCCTATTTATCAAGTCAGGACAAGTACAATTTTCTTTTTGCCCACACGCCTTTGAATCTGGAATATGCAGAAACAGGTTAACATGATTGGTTTAAATTTACATTTCTGATAAGTTCCAGTCAGTGGCTTGACTTTTCTTATATCCTTATTTATGGTATAAGCTTGTATCTCTTCCTTTTGGGGGTCTATGTCCTTTTTATAAAAAAATGTTATCTTAGACAATTAAACTATCTCTGACTTTTGAGAGAGTACCTCTAGCATATCAAAATGGTATTAAGTAAGCATGGAAAGCGTCTATCTTTGCATATTAATATGAAACAACAAATAATAACGTTCTAATGTTGAAGTATTCCATGAAACACCATGACAGGTAAAATTTAAGTGTAAACCATGGGAAGAAAAGACATTAGTGCATGAAATCTTAAACGACACTACTCTTAAAAGAACAGTTCCAGACAAGTGCCTAAGGAAAAGCAGAAGACCGTATATAATAAGTGAGTGGTGACTGAATTCATTTTGAGTTCAGAGAAGTGATTGATGGGCTAATATGGGCTAATGTTATATATTGATATTTATTAAATTCGCATTAAATTTTAACTTTCATAATATTTTCTAGGCCTTTTATTTAATATTTACGTTCCGTGTTTGTTTAAAAATCTTTTTCTTATTTGCCCCTATTGTTTAGCCAGTTATTTTTGAGAATGTTGGCCGTCAGCATTTTGATGGGCACCTTTCTGCTTTTGACTTCAGGTTGAAGCCATCCTCGTCAATATTTTTGGTGGAATTGTCAACTGTGCCATCATTGCCAATGGGATCACCAAGGCCTGCCGGGAGCTGGAACTGAAGGTGCCTCTCGTGGTCCGGCTTGAAGGTAAGTTATGGGTGATCTCCACAGCCCATCTCCCCTCTGCCAGGTCAGGTGACCACAGTCCATCACCCCTCTGCCAGGTCAGGTGAGCAGAGTGTTCTGTGCCTATAAACTCCTGAGAACAGAAGGAAGCACGGCACAGCCCATCACCCCTCTGCCAGGTCAGGTGACCACAGTCCATCACCCCTCTGCCAGATCAGGTGACCACAGTCCATCACCCCTCTGCCAGGTCAGGTGAGCAGAGTGTTCTGTGCTTATAAACTCCTGAGAACAGAAGGAAGCACGGGAGTAAGTAAGATGAAATAAGTGCAGCGTGGCAGTGATTCTGTGAGCATCTAATAGGCTCATGTAGATTGTAACTCTCTAAGAATGGCATATGTTAGGATTCTCCAAATTTTCCAAATGCATTTCAGAGTGGAGCCCTTTTATTATGAATCATTTTGTGAGATTAGTGTTTTGAAAGAAACAGTTTGAGATGCTGCTCCAAGAATTATTCATCAAGAGAAGGCAATGGCTGTGGTCTAGCACTCCTGATCTGCTAAAATTGTGGACCCAAAGAGCTCTGGCTTATTTGAGTTGTGTATTTCATTATTATTGATTAATTCAATAATTTCCTAAGTGGAACTTTAAAAATATGTTTAAATAATTAGTTTGTATTTTTAAATTAAATTAAATTAATTTTTTTTCTTTCTTCTTTGTTAATCCTCACCCAAGGATATTTTTCCCATTGATTTTTTTTTAAGAGTGGAAGGGAGGGAGGGGGAAAGAGAGAGAGAAACATCAATTTGAGAGAAGCACATTGATTAGATGACTCCCACACATGCCCCGACCCAGGGCAGGGATAGAACCTGCAATCTAGTACTGGGAATCAAACCAGTGGCCCTTCTGTGCAGGCTGATGCTCTAACCATTTAGCACACCAGCCAGGGCTATATTGTTTTTTATATTATTTCTTTAAAAAATATATTTTTTTTGCCGAAACCGGTTTGGCTCAGTGGATAGAGCGTCAGCCTGTGAACTGAAAGGTCCCAGGTTCGATTCTGGTCAAGGGCATGTACCTTGGTTGCGGGCACATCCCCAGCGGGGAGTGTGCAGGAGGCAGCTGGTCGATGTTTCTCTCTCATCGATGTTTCTAACTCTCTATCTCTCTCCTTTCCTCTCTGTAAAAACTCAATAAAATATATTTAAAAAAATAAATAAATAAAAAATATATTTTTTATTGATTTCAGAGAGGAAGGGAGAAGGAGGGAAAGATAGAAACATCAATGATGAGAGAGAGTCATTGATCTGCTGCCTCCTGCACGACCCCTACTGGGGATGGAGCCTGCAACCAGGAATCCAGCTGTGACCTCCTTATTCATAGGTAGACAGCCAACACTCAACCACAAAGCCACACAGGCCGGGCTATATTATTTTTTTATATATAAATATATGAAGTATATATTTTATGAAAAATAAATTTGTTAAATTTTTAATAAGAATAGCAGCATTGTTTTACATTTTTGAAATCTCTTTAATATGTAGTTTAATATTTGCTTCATTTTATCTGTTGCAATATGTTTTTTTGGTTGAAGTAGATGAAGAAAACCTGGCCTCATATAGAGATATTTATTTGGAAAAGGGAGGAGTTTTTAATAATCATTCCATGTAATTTTGAATATTCTTTGGTGCTCCACCAAAGTCTATGAGCAACAGTTTCTTTATTAAAGATTTGTTTTATGTGCAATCTGAAATGACTTTAATGAACATCTCATGTTCTATCCTATTGAAGTCCGTTGGTCCATCTTGCACATGAAGTGGATTTTATGCATGCATGGTTTGTAATATCATGCATTGATCATATGGAGCATTTTGGATTATGCAGATCTAAAGGTTGACACATTTCAACATACAGTGTAAAAAAGTTCCATATTTGTTAATATCATAGCATCTTCGCCCTGGCCTGTGTGCTCAGTTGGTTGAGCTCATGGTCCCATGTACCTAAAGGTCTCAGGTTAGCTCCCAACCAGGACACATGCCTGGGTTGCAGGTCGCCGGTAGGTGTGCAGGAAGCAACCCATTGATGTTTCTCTTTTACATCGATGTTTCTCTCCCTCTCTCTCCTGCTCCCTTCCTCTCTCCCTGAAATCAGTAAAACACCATTCTCATCAGAGAAGCTTGCAAGTACTGGGAACCTTTCAAGGTGGTAGATGCAAGTTTTCCAGAATTCTAATTTCCACATAAATGTACAAAGTTTATCATCAGCCATAGAGCAGTCGGTTGTTTTCCTGAAGGTGGCAGACTCTCTCCCTCCATTTTCCATAGCGTCTGCCAGAGCACAGTCTGAGCCAGCACAATGTGTCCTGTTCTCCCCAGGCCTGGGCCCCGGGCAAGGGCCTCGGACTCCTGGTGCAGGCCAGCCGCGCGCTGTCCCTCGGAGGCCCCCCGCAGCTCAGGGCGCAGCTCTTGTGGTTCCCACGGAGACCCCTGCGGCTCAGGGCGCAATGCGTGTGGACTTCCCCCTGAACTTAACCCTGAGAAATTGTCTGTAAGGAAAAAATCTTTTCTAGAAAACTCAAAAATTACCTTCCTGGGAAACAAATTAAAAATAAGAAATATCACCTAAACAAAGATATAAAAAGCAACTTAAAAAGTTATTTTAAGTATTTAAAGTACTTAAGGGTTGAGACTTAGAAAAATTCGCATTTTTCACCGTTCATTAAGGACACGGGGCTTGAAAGTGCACTCTGTATGGCAAGTGTGCGGTGGGGGGAGCAGGCCTAGCCCAGGTTGGTGCTGCTGCTTCGATTCCGTGGTAGTGGCTGGCACTTTACCCACCATCACCTTTGCTTCATCAGTGCCAATGCCAACAGAGCGTCATTGTTTTTAATATGATCATTTTAGTATTACTACTACAACAAAAACCACGTTTCACGTCAGGGACCGATCTCCCCTGGGTTCTGGAGACCCCACTTTGAGAACCACTGTAGCAGAGAGGCCCTTTAATGTGAGAACTAGCAACAGCCTGTGGATGCCATCACAGACTTCAGAGGACAGTGGCCAGGCAGCCCAGCGGTAGACTTCTGCACATCATCCTCAGGACAGCTGGTCTCCCCACGTTCCATGCTGGTGCCTCATTCCGCAGACGCGGTCCCCACAGGGGATGTGGCCCCGGTGTGTCTCCATCCCGTGAGGGCGAGACCCCAGCACAGCCGCAGCGCTGGTCTCCGGCTCCTCCTTGTGCCCCTTCCTCCTCACACTCTCTTCCCCGCTCCTCCCTCTGAGACGCCGCCCCACAAACTTCCCTCAGGACCTGGCGGACCTGATAGAAATAATGATGACAAGAGAAAAACGAAAATAGCAGAAGCGCCACTTGGCAAAGTTTAACATGGACTTTCAAACACCTGCATGAATTAAATCTTAACACGGCAAAGGCAGCAGAACTGATGCCAGTGAAAATCACTGAAGTAGTTGATCAAGGAGCTGCTGGGCATCAGTGTAGCTCAGAGGAAAGGGCTGGTGTCCACTTTCTCAGGTCAGAGTGGCCAGTGACCCTCGGGTTCGACCAGTCAGCTCTGTGTCTGTAAAAGGAGAACCTGTGTCCAGACTAGTGTCTGCCACTGAAAGTGACTCGACGTGAGTGTGTGCCTTGGTGCGCCCTCTGTCCTGTGACCCTCCCTGCGCCTGCGTTGTCGGCAGAGGTCCGTCCTTATTAGCTTTAGGTTCTTTCCTAGAAAAGCAAGTCACCCCACTTTTACTTCCCCCAAAGCCTAAAAGGAGCAGCTCTCTTTTTCACACGGTGCTTAGTATTCCAGAAGGAAATGATCTCTGACATCGAACATCTCCCTGTCGTGTGTACCTGGATAATAAACACGCTGGAACACGCTAAATACCACATCCACGGTCACCTCCCTGACTGATCTCTATTGGCTGTGTCAGAGGTCTGCCCGCGCTGCTGGAAGTGTTGACATTTCTAAGTTGTTAGACAATCAGATTTGCATCTTGTGAGTCAGTGCACTTCCGAAATATATGCCTGTGGGGGTTTAGTTGGTTAATTATATACTAAGTACTCTGTGCAGGTTACTGAGCTTTGGGCATTCAGGAGGATGTACAGAAATATAAGGAATGACCTCCTTTACTAGACGGCTGGGGAAATAAAAGAGAAAGAAAGAAGATGTAACAATACAAGATAATATATGTACAGTGCTAGCAAGGGTTGGTCCTACTAGAACCTGCTTCTGTGTCAGGGCTTCCCAGAGAGCCAGCCGCCAGCAGGGCTTCTGGAACCTTCAGAAATATTATTGCCACAGTGTCTCCGGTGACAGGTACTTGCAGGTGATGAATCAAGATGAGCTCAGACAACAGACTGCCCCAAGCTTTGTGGGCTAAAGCACCCCTGGTGACCTTGACCCTGCTCTTCCAGCATCAGGGTCTGTCCTGTAACAGCACCTGGGACCTCTATCAAAGTGGGGGCAGGAGAGCTTTCGACACTCCCGGATCCCAGCGGTTTCTTTCCGCCTCCTGTGGGAGTAGCATCTTGTTGATAAATGTCCTCAGCAAGGTCGTGCCAAGGACACTCACTTCCGTGATTTCGGGAAACCAGCAGCCCCACACCAAGGTTACGACTGTCCCAAACTTGTATTGTCCTACATATTAAACCAGGGAAAGATGAAGGATCGTGCCCCAGCTCTACTCCCAGCACTAATATTAACAAAATGCAAAAATCGGAGGTGGCATTATCCATAAAGGGAACGAAACAGGAACCAAGCAAGTGCTCGCTCTGCGAAGGGAGTGCAGGCTCTGTTACGTGCGTCACCCCACTTCCTTTGGCACCCCCCTCTTTACGCCCCCTGGGTATTGAGCACTGTAACTATGGTGCATTTAGAGATGTGAGTTAGCAAAGAGATATTATAAAAGGAGAACTTCCAAGTTGAATGTGGAAATAAGTGCAATGTGAATCATGGAAAAAAGGAGGAGGGAACTTAGAGGATCAGAAGACAGCACATCTGTTCCGTACGTGGGAGT